TGTCTGTAATAGTGGTACTTCTGCAGTAAGATGATGGCATGTCTGTAATAGTGGTACTTCTGCAGTAAGATGGGAGTGGACACAGACATATCCCTGGACGCTCATAGGCCAGCAGCCTGCCTTGCTCAGTGGTAAACAAGATACCCTCTCTCCAACAAGATGGAGGATGAGGACTGCCACTTAAGGCTGTCCTGTGACCTCAACACAGGAATCAGGACATGCATGCCTTCCATATACACTCACAGACACACACACACACAAACACATAAGAAACATACATACACACAGACACACTCATAGACATACATGCACACATACACGCACACACGCATATGTGCATGCGTACATCCTGACAAATGTGCTCTGGACAGCATAAGTGTGGTTCAGCTCTGTAAGTGTTTATACTAATATAATCTGGGAATACTAATGTAGTCAGACTAAAGGTTAAAGCCTAGACTAATTTATTATATTTTATTTTAAAGTGTATAAATAGACCTTTCCCATTCCCTAATTGCATAGTAACACTTGGTCATTTTAGGTCATTTTGAAAATATTTGAAAGTATGAAAAAGAAAACTCTCATCCATCACTTGCAGACTAGAAGTAACCTTTCAGGTTTAAAGTTCTACTTTCCTAATAGTTGCAAAGGACTGGACATAGGGTTTATTGCATGCATGGGCTGTACCACTGAGCTAGGGTGCCAACCTTCATGTTAGGTCTTAATGATTTTTTTTCCCTCAGGATTGTATTTATATGTATATTCTTGTTTTTATCTAACATTTTTCATGAATTTTTGGGTTTTTTTTTTGTTGTTGTTGTTGTTTGTTTTTCTAGACAGGGTTTCTCTGTAGCTTTGGAGCCTGTCCTGGAACTAGCTCTTGTAGACCAGGCTGATCTCGAACTCAGATCCGCCTGGCTCTGCCTCCTCCTAAGTGCTGGGATTAAAGGCGTGTGCCACCACCGCCTGGCTCATGAATATTTTTTTAATTTTATTTATTCTGTGATGTATCTCTTGGTGTGTCTCTGTATGCATGCATATGTTTGTGTCTGTGTGTGCATGCATGTGTGTATGTGCACGCCTGTGTGTGGGTGTCTCTGTGTGCATGCATGTGTGTGTCTGTATGTTGCATGCAGTAGTACATCCCCTTCTGTCAGCATGTAGGTCCCAGGGTTGTCTGACTTAGCAGCCAATGCCTTTACCCTCTGAGCCATCACGACAGCCTGTTTTCTTCCTTCCTTCCTTCCTGGTTTGCTTTCTCTTATCTCTTTCTTTTTCTTTTTAATGGGGTTTTTGCAGTGTTGCACAGGCTAGCCTTGAACTCTTGGGCTCAAGCTGTCCCCTTCTCAGGCTACAGATGTGCATTGCCATGCTCAGAACATGAGTGCCTTCCTGAAAATACAGTGGTTAACAGTTGTATTACACTCAATAACCTGAATGGCCTGTGATTTTAGTTAGTTATCGTTTAGGGAGAAACTCTCTAATTCGACTATTGCCAGTTTCTTCCTGATTACAAGGAGGATGCTGCTGATTTTTATATTCAGTCCCTTTGGTGAGACTTTGATTCCTTTCTCGGAAATTGCCTCCCAGGGGAGAAATGATTGGGTTAGAGTACATGTGCTTTTAAGACTCTTCATTTTTTTAAAGAAGATTTTCCTTCAGAAATGTGCATCTTGACAGCAACAATTGAGTCTGCCAGTGCCTCCCAGAGAAAATGTTTCCATGCCTTCCCACTAAATTTCCAAACCCAGGCATTTGTCTCCAATTGTGTGTGCCTTTGCTCCACAGTGAGCTGGGGAACATGCGCGAGACAGAGATGGCTCATGGATGTGTGACTCAGTGCGAGCCTCTTGCCCTAGCAGAAAGAACAGCAGATCTTCATTATTTTTAGAGATAGAATGTAGTCTTCTAATGAGCAAGCTCGGACAAGTTACCGTTTACAGTGTCAGAGACTTCTGAAGAGGAGAATGAAATGGAAGGCCGCAGTCACGCTGCTCCATCTGCAGTTGCCTGTAGGACAGATCAGGAATCCAGATTTGAATGAGGACAGGGCAGACGAGTCAATCACAGATCGTTGTTGGCATATGCCATGGCAGGTGGAATTACCCAGAATCCTGAGGCAAAATAGTATCTTCTCTCAAAATACCCTGTATTCCAGAAAAAGGGTGGGTCTAAGCTTTAGGGTGTATTTCTAACTGTTGAAACTTGCAAAACTCCCTGTCAACCCTTTTCCATGTTGCCGGCTTGGATTTTATGTTTAGGACTAGCAATCACTTTGCCCCTCAAAGTTCATTCAACTGATGAGCAACCTGGGATCTACGTCTCTACCAGCCCATCCAGCTCCAGGATAAAGCCCATAATCTGATTTTAGAAAGCCTATAATCTGTCCGGAGACTAGAGTATTCAGGCTCAGATCCTGCCCTGACTACCCATGTTCTTCCAGGCAATTAGAGAAAACAAAGGAAAATTGAACATAGTCAGCCCCATATCCACGTGTTCAATTTCTATTAATTCAACCAACCATGGATAAAAAATGCATTTTTCAAACATTGTGTGCACTAAATATGTATACAAATTTTTCTTACAGTTATCCCCAAAGCAATAAAACAAAACAGCTATTTACATAGCATTTATACTGCTCTAGATATTATAAGCAGTCTAGAGATGACTTAGAGTATCTGGGAAGCTATGGTAGACTTTATGAGGAACTTTCTCCTATGAAGACTTTGAAACAGGTCCTTCACAGATAGAGTGGCAGCTATAATTGGATTTATCTAACAGGCTGCAATAAATTCCAGTTGGGTTAGTCTGGTAATTAGGACGAGGGGAATGACTATTAAATAGCTATATAGTATTTTACAGGATGTAGTGCCAAATTTTACAGCAGGTATTCAACTAAAAATTGTGACTTTTTTTCAAAGTGAAAATTATTTATCATTTGCTTTGATTGCAAAGTGTAAAAATGTCTTGTTTTAAGAAATACGAAATTAGGTGTGATAGCATACACCTTTAATCCCAGCACTGGGGAGACAGAGGTGGGCAGATCTCTGTGAACTGAAGGCCAGTCTAGGAAGCATAATGAATTATGAGACAGCCAGAGCTACACAAAGAGACCCTGTCTAAAACAACATCAAACAGACAGGGGTGATGTGATATATAAGAAACCGGAGAAATTACTCAATGATTAAGAGCACTGGCTGCCTCCAGGATTCCAGTCAGAGAGGGAGAAAGAAATACATGAACAAGTGAGATCAAGATCGTGATAGAGAAATCTACAGAGACAGCTGGACCAAGGTCGTGGAAAACTCATGAACTCTGGATGGACAGCTGTGGAGCCTCCATAGGACCGAACTCGGCCTTTGGTATGCGAGAGTCAGTTGTGAAGCTTGGGGTACCTAAGGGGCCCCTGGCAGGAAGACCAGGACCTATCCCTGGTGCAGGAACTAGCTTATTAGAGCCCATTCCTTTTGAGGGGATGCCATGCTCAGACTTAACACAGATGTGCCAAACTGTGGACTCCCCATGGGAGCCCTTACCTGTTGAGAAGAGTGGATGAGGGCTAGGGGAGGGGGTTGAGGGGATATCAGGAGGAGAGGTATGAAGGAGAACCTTAGTAAGAATGTAAAATTAATTTAAAAATAAATAAATGTTAAAAAAAAAAGCAAAAACAGAGCATTGGCTGCTTTTCTAGAAGACCTGGGTTTTATTCCCAGCACCCCATCCCACAGTAGCTAACAGCTTTCTATTACTCCAGTTCCAGTTGATCCAGTTGACACTGTTCTGCGGCCTCAGTGGGCACTGCACAAACATGATGCACAGACATATGTGGAGGCAAACCACCCATTCACTGTAAATAAGTATAAATAAGATCTAAGAAATATATATTTAAAAAGAGAAGTAAAAGCTGGGCATAGCGACACAGAGCTTTAATCCCAGAATTTGAGAAGCAGAGGCAGGCAGATTTCTGAGTTTGAGGCCAGCCTGGTCTACATAGCAAGTTTCAGGCCAGACTATATGGGGAACCACATGGGGAGGTCCTGTCTCAAAAAAAAAAAAAAAGTAGAAAAGGAAAGGAAAAAGAAAAGATGCAGTTTTGGTCTAGTGATGTGGCCCAGTGGGAAAGTGCTTGCTTAGCATTTGAGAGGCCCTGGGTTTTATTCCCAATACAAAACAAAACAAAACAAAAAATCAAACACACCAGCATTAATACATTTTAATATAATTGACCTGTATTACTAGTCAAAGGATAATGAAATAAATTACCTTTAGAGGTTTGTTTCGTTAGGCTGGTGAGAGGGCTCAGCCTTGCCTCCGAGTCTGAGATCTACATAGTAGATTCATGATTGTCACATATATGCTATGGCATGCACATGTATATATACACACTCATAGGTTTCACTTTAAATAGTGTTGAGTTCATTGTTGTTTCTGCTGTTTGTTCCTGCAGTGCTGTGTTCGTTGAGCCCAAGGCCTATGTGTTCTAAGCAAGTGCTCTGCTGCTCAGCTTCATCCCCAGCCTTGAGGTATCTAATTCAGCAGAGCTGCTTTAGAGCTGCAGTGTCATTCTACACACACACACACACACACACACACACACACACACTCACACACACACTCACACACACACTCACACACACTCACTCATGGTAGTCTAATCAAGTAGTATCCTGACTCCTGTGCCCAGCTAGTCTTATTCTTTTATATACTTTTTTTTAAAAATAAAAACATGATCTTGCTAATATACCCTAGATTGACCTTAAACTCATAATCCTCCTGTCTTGACCCTCTGAATGGTGGGTTTCTAGATATTACAATCATACCTAGCACTGAATTTTGTTTTATTTTGTTTTGTTTTTCAAGACAGGGTTTCCCTGTGAAACAGTTCTAGCTGTCCTGGAACTCACTTTGGAGATCAGGCTGGCCTTGAACTCACTGAGATCCACCTGTCTCTGCCTCCCAAGTGCTGGGATTAAAGGCTTACAACACTACTGCTCAGCTCAAACTTTGCTTCTACTAAGTGATTGATTTCCTAATGCTAAGCTATTGTGTTCCTTAATAAATTCCACTTAGTCTAGTATACTATTCTTTCACTTGATTGTATTTTGTTGCACATTTGTGTCATTTTGTGAAAGGATTATGGTGTATAGTCTTGTTTTGAGTTTGCTTTAAGGCAATTAAATCTTCAGAAATATTTAAGAATTGGCTTCTGCTCTATTTCTTTAAAAAGATTTTTAATAGAGTTTATTGTTTATTTCAACACCCACCCCAGAGACAGAGTTTCTCTGTGTCCTTGAACTTGCTCTATAGACCAGACTGGCCTTAAACTCAAAGGTCTGCTTGCCTTTGCCTTCCAAATTCTGGGATTAATGCTGTGTACCACAACTGCCTGGCCTCAGCCTCTCAAATTCTGGTGTTACAGGTGTTAGCCACCATACTCAATTGAAAAATTTTAAATTTCTTTTGTAGACAATAGGACTTCTTAGATTTTCTTTTCTTCTTAAGTCAGTTTTACTGACTTCTGAGTCTTTCAACATCCTCTGAGAACAACAGTTAGAGGATGTTGAAAGACTCAGAAGAACTTGGTATGGTGCTGCACACCTTTAGTCCCAGCACTCAGTAGGCAGAGCAGACAGATCTCTGAGTTTGAGACCAGCCTGGTCTGCAGAGCGAGTTCCAGGACAACCAGGGCTACACAGAGAAACCCTGTCTAGAGAAACCAAAAAAGAAAGAAAGAAAAGGGAAGGGGAAGACTCAAATGAAATGGCATATATGCAACCACTGCAAATACATGAGTGTCATTACAGAACTGTATTTACTCCTGTATTAACTCCTATAGTGTAAATTCCAGATACCTAAGTATGGAGTCAGACCGTCTGCTGTGCAGCCGTTGGGCAGGTGAATGAGAATTTGATGTATATAGGATTTAACGTTGGGCTGTATTTTGCCTTTATCTGGGGTATGCGTGGTGACCCACATGCCATGATCCTTTGAGTTTCTTTCTTGGCTCTTAACATTAAGTGGTGTAGACAAGTTACATAACCTCTCTGTTCCTTGTCTGTAAATTAGGAATAATTACAGCAACTACCTGACTGGGCAGTTACAGTTAAACCAGATTATATATGTAAAGTGTTCAGAACCAGCATCTTTCATGGTTAAGGTAGATAACCGTGACTTGTTGTTTTTGTGTGAGTGCATTACATTTCCTCATTCTCCCAGTAAGCAGCCCTCTGTCACTGCGAAGTGTGCCATCATCCTGTCCTGTTTCAGGGGAAAAGCCAAACTAGAGTGTATAGTCCATATCAGCTACTGGGCTAATTATTTTAATATGCATCCTTGCTTAACTCTTGAAATGCTGTACAGTTGGTTTTGATTACTAGTACCAAAATTACCATTTTTAGAGGAAAGGTAGGTAACAGGTTCCAAGAATTAGTTACTTCCTCAGAACCAAACTGAATTGCTCAGATTAGATTAGAAAGATACTGCCCTTAACCAAAACTGACATAAACCAACATTTATTTGGTTGGTTGGGTTTTTTAGTTTTTTTCTGGGGACAAAGTACCTCACTATGTAGTTCTGACTATCCTGGAACTCAGTATGTGGACCATACTGGCCTTGAACTCACAGAACTCACATGCCTGTGCCTCCCAAAAGGCAAGGCCACTAAACCTGACTTTTGTTCATTTTTTGGTTTTCATTTTGGTTTTTCAAGACAGAATTTCTCTGTGTAATAGCACTAGCTGTCCTGGAACTCAATTTGTAGGCCAGGCTGACCTTGAACTCATAGAGATCTGCCTGCCTCTGCCTCCTGGGACTAAAGTTGTGTGCCACCACTGCCCAACTTAATTTTTTTTAAAAAAAATTGTACTGTAAAATTAGAAACTCAACTGTCTGATAATGGCATAAAGTGTTAGGGGTAGAGTGTCCATCAGTGACTACAGCAGCAGCAAGGATTTCTTTCTGTACCAAGAGAGAGATGGGGCTTTATGAGTGGGGATGGTAGGGTTCCACAAACTGTGGCCCTTGAGTCAAATTTAAGTCATTGGCCTCTTTTATACATCTTATAAGTTAAGAGTGAGTTTCTCATTTTTAAATGGTTGAGGAGGGAGTGGTGAAAGAACCATCTTTTGTGTCATATTTCATAATTATGTTCAGTGCAGATTGCGGTGTCCACAAATAAAGTTCCATCAGTCTCATAAGCGAAAGCGAACGGTGAGCAGCATTCACAAAAAAGGCCTGCTGACCCTTGGGGACCAGTGTCCAAGTTCATAGTCTGTTCCCTTGGCAACCCTTCTGTGTTTGCTTTTCAGCAGTTACTCATTTTTCCAAATTATTCCTGTTATGTTTTTGTTCTTTCCATATAAAGCTTTATATCCCACACTACCTTTTATAATTTGATCTCTTTAGAGTAGGAATTGCAGATCTTTCCTTGAAGTGACCCGCCGCATGAGTCAGTTACAGGTTGGAAGCTATCAGATGCCACTGGCAAGGCAGCCTTTCTTTAAAGTTAACAAACTAATTGTACTTGCATGTTTCAGCATTTTATTGTTATTTTTACTTTTGGTGTTCTCAGACTTTTTTTTCAGCTCATCCCCTTATTCCAATTTAGACTCCGCTTCGTCGCACATGTGAGAGAATGTGGAACAGTTAAGCACCCGATTCACTCTTCTCTTGGCAAATTTTGAAATAGACTTTTGCATTTATTTTGACTTTTTAAATTGCAAAAGACTAAACCAAAGATCTGATTAAAAGACATTATTCCTCTAGGGAGAAAAATACTTATTTTTGTCTTATAGAACTTCATGTACTAAGAATTGATTTCTCTTGAAGATTTCTATTGACTTTATTATGTGGATGGGTGGTTTGCTTGCATATATGTCTGTGCACAGTGTGCATGCATAGTTCCTGCAAAGGCCAAAATAGGGCATCAGATCCCTGGAGCTGTAGTCACCGACTGCTGTGAGCCACAGTGTGAATGCTGAGAATGGAACTGTGTGCCCTGGAAGAGCAGCCAGTGCTCTTGACTGCTGGATAAACCTGGGGCTGGAGTTTCAGTTGTAAAGTGTTTCCTGCACAAACATGAGGATCTGAATTTGGATCCCTGATACTTACGTAAAAGTCGGGTAAGGCACATAGTTGGAACCCCAGAACCAGAAAGGTGTGTGCAAAGACAGATCTCAGAAACTTGCCAGCCACCATGAACTCCAGGTCCACTCAGAGACACTATCTCAGAAGCTCAAATGGAGAGCAATAGGAGACACTTGGCATCGACCTGTGGTGTTCACACATGCACACTCCAGTGAGTGCACCTCTGCATGCACACATGTAGCACGGACACAGTGCTAAGACAATAACTAACTCTTGGGCATGCTTGAACGAGTTTGAACATTTATGTAGCAAATTAAATTCATTAAATCATCTGAATAGTTTTAATACTTTCATCATCGCAGAATGCAAAAAATCTGCATTTAAGTCTAGATTTTTCATCCTCTTTCATCTTTCAAAATGACTTTCTATAAACCTGGACTTTTTCATCCTGTGATCATGTTTCTGGATTTTAAATTCTACCCTTGAAGAAAGTTTGAGTCTGTTACTGCCTGGGGCCCTTTTCAGGAGAACAGATGGATCTGTTTGTCTTGTCGGTACAATTTCTCATTGCACAGTTTCCATACATGGTGACTTTGTGCAGACTGACGCCCATCTTGGGGGTCAGTGAGCTGTTGAAATGGAATGACTAACTTAGTTAATGCATAACTACATCATTCTAAGCCCCTCCTGTTGAAACCTACATGACTGCAGCACCCTGGGTTACCAAGAACCCCCTGATATAAAGAATTTCCTGTACATTGTTTGGCTCTGTCAAGAAGATATTTATCTCTGGTTTTTATTTGCACATCAGTGCTCTTTGAAGAGATAGAAAGAACTTCCTTTTACAAGTTGAAGTATGAGGTAGGGCCTCAGTTACTCCCGTGGCACCTCTTGTCCCGTTCTTCCGTCTCCTATTTAAAACATTTCTAGACAAATCCTTTTGTAGATTTGACCGTCACTAGAAAGTAATCACTTTTTAAAAGTTGTTTCATCTTCAAATCTTTCTCTTTCCTTCACAACTTATAAAAAGCAGGGAGGAAGTATTTTAAGATTTACAGGCCTGAGGGCTATAGCTCAGTAGGTAGAATGCTTGCCTAGTGTGCATGACGCACGCCCTGGGTTCCATTCCCAGCACTATAGAAACTGGGATTGATAGTGTGTGTCTGTGAGCCCAGCACTCTGGAGGTAGAAGCAGGAGCATCAGGAGTTCAGACCATCCTGAGCTAGCTAGAGATTTTTGAGACCCTGTCTTAAAAAAAATAAAAACCTTTAAAGCTTTTATTAGTGTGTAGATAACAGCTTCTTATTGTATTATCATAGGATTATTTTGCATTTTAAGTAGGTAGTCTAATCCAAGGGAATAGAGTTTAAATAATTAACTAGAATCTGAAGCAGAGCAGCTAGTAATCAACTATTTGCCAGACCATTGCCTTAACTACTAAACTACCTCATTAGTAGAAATATTTGGAAAGGAGCTAGTGAGATGGCTCAGTAACTAAGAGTGTACTGTTCTCCCAGAGGTCCTGAGTTCCCAGTACCCATGTGAGGCAGCTCACAACCACTTGTAACCCCATTTTCAGGAACTCTGACTCCATAGGCAGCTACATACATGTTCACAGATATGTTCATGTGCACATAATTAAAATAATATCTTTAGACCAGGTGGTGGTGGTATACATCTTTAATCCCAGTACTTGGGAAGCAGTGGCAGGCAGATTTCTGTGAGTTCAAGGCCAGCCTGGTCTACAGAACTAGTTCTAGGACAGCAAGACTATGCTAAAAAAAACTCTGACTCAACCCCCCCCCCCAAATAATAAAAATAATAAAAATAATTTTAAGGAAATATTTGGATATGAGGAGTTTTCTCAGTGTTTTATTTCATTCTTGCTAGATTACTGGTACCAACAGCAGTCCTATGTCTGAGCTGCATTGCCCCTACCTATTTTAACTTCTGCATGTTTAATGCCTTATCCCGCAGGGATCGTGCCATGGTCTCACTGAAGCCTGTCAAACTATGCATATGATTTGCATCTATAATCATTCTTTTTCTGGTAGTCCATATGATGCAGCACTGAGGTGCCGTGAAACAAAGTCAGGACAGAGCCTGGAAACCTTACTCACTCGTTGTGGTTCAGGGTCACTTCTTGGTTATATTACCTTACAAAAGAGGATAATGAGATGGATGGAAATGCAGTGGATCAACAGCCGTAGGGAGAAGAGTGGGCCCTGACATGTAGATCCAGTGGGGGAATCCACCCAGGGAGTACCCAGCATTCCTGCCCAGTGACTGCTGTGAGTGCCTGCCTGACTGACAAGCCCCATCAAGACAGCAGAACTTTAGCAGTCACGCTCCATAGTGCACCCCCTGCACATCAATACATGGTTTCACCAGCTTTCAGAAGGCCATTTACCAGTCCTCTCTTGGTTAGGAAATCACAAGTGTTTAGTCTTGAAACTAAGAAGGAAGGGAGCAGTTAATTAATGCTTTTGAAAATAAGAGGTGGGGAATCCTTTGTTCTCTTCAGCCTAAAATAAGTAGGCTCCCAGCCCTTCACCTAGACCGTTTAGTGGAAATTCTGTGTCCATGAACTGAAGGTCCCTGCTCCCATTGTGCCCCATTGTTTATGTTGTTTTCAAGACTTGAGTGCTGCTTCTCTCCTACCATACCTTATAAAGTTAAACAAAGAAGTATGAAGATTATGAGGACCTTGAAATGTCAGAGATATGGAGTAGTCCCTTGGCCACATTCGTGCCCTTTGTTTTAGAGCGGAAGTTCCTGCCGTTCTTAATGGGGAGCCAAATAAATGTCTGTGTGGCAGAAGTAAGAGCCTTCTGCCTGGGAACTGGAGTCCGCTATTGAGAGTCACGCCTTTCCGTAGCTGGTGACCTGGGAGCAACCTCTTTTCAAGTTTACTTTTATCATTTGTGACACAAGGCTACATACAGCTTTTCCCACCTACCTCAAAATCGTAGTTGCTTCAACAAGGTAATGGCACACTGGCCTCTTGCACTGAAGCGGTGTCTGTGCGCACAACTGGTGGCAGGCCTTCACTGCATCTGTGTGCTCCACATGGTGCTCACGTTTATCAGCAGCAAGGTGGGAAGGAAAGGAGAATGAAATTGGAAAAGAAGTGATTTTCCGTGAGCATTCAAGGCCAAAAAGTAATTGTTAATAGATCAAAATTTACCCATGTTTTTTTAAATGATGAATTCTGTCAAAAGTTAATTGCATTTAAATTGTTTAATTTTCTAAATGGCTTTTAAAGAGGAAATCCTGCCTGTTAGATATGCCATGTTGGGCTGGGTTCTTGTGACCTTGACAGAATTGCAATCTGTTGAGCTGGGGACACACACGTCAAGTCCGTTTATGGTAGAAGGACAGAAGCAGCAGGTGACAGATCATATCTTATCACATCTCCTGTTGGCTGCTTTGCATCAGCAGGAGCGTGGCCCTGCCAGTGTCAGCCTGCCAGGGGATTTGCTAATTCCTGAACTCGTGGGAATCAAACTGCGGAAAAGAAGGTCTTCCTTTCTGAATTTACTTAGTGATGTGAAACACATGTGTTTTTGACTATTTTACACCATGAGACAGGCAGGTTCAAGGCGGGGTGAACTCTTTTCCACTTTCTTTTCACTATGCACTTAGTTTTTCACCTACTAAAGTAATTTCTTTTTGAGAAGCTGTTTAAATGCCTCCCTAATTTCCATGGGCATGTAGCTGTTTGTTTCTTAGTGAGGTTATTGCTTTCTTGCTGGGAAGAAAAGGAGCTGTAGATAGCCACGTGTTGTTACCATTTCCTGAAGTAAAGCCTCGTAGAGCTAGACTGTGACAGATGGGCTAAGCAGGACCTACCCCGGCTTTGCTGTGTTCACCTCCCTGAGCTGTGTGGACATGCCCGAGGGAAAGATGGCACCTCTCCAGCTTCAGTCTCCCAGGTATCCTAGTCTGTAGTCGGTGTCTGTGAGGACTACTTCCTGAGAGTGGGGGTGGGAAATACATTCTTCATAAAAGTGTAAGACATGCATATTGTTAAGGAGATGAAGACAGTAGTGGACATTCGCCCACTTGTGTGTTGGAGGCACTTGTGTGTGCCACTGTCCAGACAAAAGGTCTGGAAAGGTCTTAGAGTCTGGTGGCTCGAATAAAATTCAACTGAAGCAATGAGGGCATCTCATCTAGGTGAAGGGGATGGATGGAATGATTATGCTGTTTTTGCTGAAGCAGACACTAAGAAACGATAGTGGGTGTCTTAGGGCCCAGAGGGTTTTTTTTTTTAACAATTAAATGGGTTGTCATATGGATATGAAATACACTCAGCATACAAACCTATCCTCCCAAGCTGCTAAGGGAAATAGTGGGTCTTTGTTTTCTGTTTTTTTTTTTTTAAAGTAATTTGGTAGGTGCTAAAGATGACATCTTCTTTGGAAAATGTGTGTATGTTTGTGTGTGTGTGTGTGTGTGTGTGTGTGAGAGAGAGAGAGAGAGAGAGAGAGAGAGAGAGAGAATGTACAAATGTAAGAATCATGCTGAATACCAAGATGTTGACTCAGTTTAAATTTTCCTTTAAAAAAAGGAAAATTACTGAATTTAAGTTTTTCTTTTATTGAACATTGGTTATAAAGGTAACTTGGAAGCTGCTTTACTAATGTGCGATGGAGTCAAGATAAAATCGTTTTAAGAGGCTAGAGAGGTGGCTCTGTGCATAAGAGTGCTGGCTGCTCTTGCAGAGGACACAATTCAGCTTGCAGCACGCACATGGGGGTTCACAACTACCTGTATCTCACAATCCAGGGATCCGTCATGCTCTTCTGGACTCCAAGGAGCATATATGACCACACAGACACTCATATACATATAATTTTAAATAGTAAAAATAAATCTTTAAGAATTAATGTAAGAATATTAAGTTCCTTAGTTTTGGCAGGTTTACCTTTTCTGGGTTTTGTTATTGTTAAACTGACACAGACGTACTCAAGTTTAAAAAGTGATTAGTTTAAGCCAGGTGGTGGTGGTGCACGCCTTTAATCCCAGCACTTGGGAGGCAGAGGCAGGCAGATTTCTGAGTTCAGGACCAGCCTGGTCTACAAGAACTAGTTCCAGGACAGGCTCCAAAGCTACAAAGAAACCCTGTCTCGAAAAACTAAAAAAAATAAAAAAATAAAAAAAAGTGATTAGTTTGAGATCATGGCCTCAGAGTGGTTTTGGCTGCAGGTAATAGAAATGACCATCAACGAGCTTCATAAGCAGTCAGTGTCCACCTATGATACAAAGTCTAGCTAGGTAATTCCTTGGCTCAGTGACATCATCCAAGGCCAAGTTCTTTCACCTTTCTGCTCTGCCACCTTTGCCTTTCAAGCCTTATCCTTTAGTTTCTTGTGTCCTCGAGACCGTATAGTCAGAATGTCCTCATATGCATCTTCTGCCTTCCAGAATGTTTCCCTTCACACCTTATTGTCCAGAACTGATCATATGCCCTTGCCTAAGCCAGTTAACACTGTGCCCACCATAATTCACTCAAACTGATGGAGACTATGCACAGAGTCCACAGGAACAGGTAAAAACTAGGTACCTGGGCAAAATTAGAGTGTTGTTTTCAAGGAAGAATAGAAGCATATCAGCAAAATACACATAACAACATTGGACACATTGAAACATCCAAATTGAGAATGCCTAATATAGATTCTTTTAATCTAGGGCCTATATTCAATAGTAGCTCTGAAAGCTATGTTCTCTTTTTGTTTGTTTATTTTTTGAGACGGGGTTCCTCTGTGTAGTCCTGGCTATCCTGGAACTTACTCTGTAGACCAGGCTGGCCTTGAACTCACAGAGATCCATTTACCTCTGCCTCCAGAGTGCTGGGATCAAAGATGTGTGCCACCACTGCCCAGCTGAAAGCTATGTTCTTAGAATTGTGTGCATTCGTTTTGTCCTCCATAGAAACCTGGTCAGGGTGCATTCTTCCTAAAGATTGGAATACGTACAGTCTTGAGACCCCAGTCACATGGCATGGAAGAGGCAAGAGAGAGAAAGATTAGTGAATACCAACTACAGCCCCAGAAATTCCCCTACTAAGACCAAATTTAAGCAAAGATCTGACAGATGTAGTATATGTGAAACAAGGTGACAAATGGCCCCAGAGCAAACTGACTGGCTTCAGTGCAGTCTTGAGATGCTGACCCACAGAGACTTCTGGTTCTGAGACAGAGGTAGAGATGGGTGGAGAGTACACTTAAGGTGGTTGCTCGTTTGGAAAGGAATTAGGAAACTCAGGAAAGGGCAGCAGTTAAGTCAAAGTCAACAGCTACATTATAGCTTTGTTAACGTACTGAGCACGCTCTTGACTTAGGTGAATGTAATACCAGTACTGCCTATCATTCTGCTACTGTGGCTGAATGGCAGGAGTATGACTGCTGCAGTTCACTCTCTTCTTCACTTTGCCCTAGATCCTCGTGTGGATTTCCCTTCAAGTCTTCTCATCTGAGAGCTTTTGATGAGCTCTTACCCTGGCTCTCTCTCAAGAACCCCTCTTCTCTATTCTTTTTCATGGGGTTGGTTTCTGCTGGAAATTTTATTTAGGGTTATTGTATTATTTAAGATTTTAATTTTATTTTTAACTATGTAGGCACGTGCACAAGAATGCAGGTACACACGGAGGTCAGAAAAAAGTCTTAGTCCCCCCCACCTGAGAAGTGGAATTACTGGCAGTTGTGAGCCACCTGATATGGGTGCTGGGATCTGAACCCAGGTCCTTTGGAAGAGCAGCTGTACATCCTGGGCCGTCTCTCCAGCCCTGTCCATGCTATATTATTTAAGAACATAGTTATGATATTCTTGGTACCCATTTAGGATTTGCTGCGTCAGGGCTGCGAATGTGGAACGGTGGCAGAATGCTTCCCTGGCATGTGTGAGGCCTTACTTCAGTTATCAGCACTACCTGTGCCCTCACACCCTTCCCCCAAGCAAGATTGTCTGATTGAATTGCTGAGACATTCGTTAGTATTCTTCTTTCAATTTTTCTCTAAATTTTGTTCCTTCTTTTATTGGATAATGAGAGCTATGTTCTATTTTCCTTTTTTGACTTAGCTACCAGAAATTACTAAACTAAACTTTGAACTCACTTGCAATATCCACGCTTAGCTTGAGGTGTCTACAGTCCTCATTTACTATAGAGCAATAAAATACTTATTTTAGGACTGCAGATGTAGCTCAGTTGTTAGGAAGGTTGCTGAGCATGCATGAAGCCCTGGGCTTGATCTCCAGCACCACATAAAGCAGTCATGCTAGTGCATTTCTATAATTCCAGCACTTGAGAGGAACACACAGGAGGATCAGAAAGAAGTTCAAGATCACTCTCAACTATTGGGAAGTTTGAGGCCAACCTGAGCCTGTCTCAAAACCTGTCTCAAAAAAATTATTTTAGTGGTGCCTGATTTCAGTGTCAACTGTTGTCAGTTGTCTCAGATCCTGATTGTATCAAATGAACAGTGAGTGAGTGAACTGATTAATCAGTAACAGAGGGAAATGCCACACCAGGAACACCATGTTGTTAGAATGAGTGAGATGGTATTGGCGCTAGGATGGAAGGAAGGTTGACAGATGCTTAATAGATATTTTATAAATTAATAAATTAGGCTGGGTATGTACTTTCATGGTAGAGCACATGACTAGAATGCACAAGGCTCTGAGTTTGATCTCCAGCACTGCAAAAATTAAGGGATCAGGATCAGTTATGGTGGCACAGCTCTGTACTTCCAGCACTTGGCAAGTAGAAGCAGAAGAATCAGAAGGTCAAGACCAGTCTTTGCTATATGACAAGACTGAAACCAGCCTGAACTATGTAAGACTATCTCAAAAGCCAAAACTAATAATAATAGCAATGGGCTGGAAAGATGGCTCTGTAGTTAAGAATGCCTGCTGCTCTTCTAACAGTTCCCAGCACCCACATCAGGTGGTTCACAACCACCTGGAACTCCAGCTCCAGGGGATCTGATCCCTTCTTCTGCCCTCATATATGGCATACATATATACATATGCATGATTCTTTAATTTTAAGTTTAAATATGAAAAATAATAATAATAATGAAGCTGGGCATGGAGCCATTACTTTGAGGCCAGCCTGTGCTACATCGTGAGTTCCAGATCAACTGGAACTACAGGAAAACCCTATCTATAATAGTAATAACAAGAGACTAAGAAGTAATCAATTAACTTAGCATGTATTTTTTACCATTTATTTTGATTTTAAGTCTCTATTATTAATCACTAATTTGGTTCTCTTGCGCTTATTCATCTTATCCTGCAATTTCTCTCCCTTCTGTATTTCCAGACCTCTTTTATTTTCTTGTGCCTTCCTTCTTGACAAGGAAACTACTTCCTTTAACTGTAAAAACTCATACCGCAGGGCTCATGAATGTTGCCCCCTCTTCTTTCCTGGGACTCTTAGCTCTCATTTCCCTTTAACTAAACAAAATGACTCACAAACCTACAGGTTTATAACCAGAAGGATCATCTTGTCTCACGGGCTCATCTCTACTCTGTCCAAAGAGGGGAAATTTATTGTCCAAGGTCACACTATTGTTTAGAGCAGAGACCAAACTAGCACCCAGCCCTGGATCTATATTACACTCTGCAGAATGAGCAAGCCTCTTCTCAACTCCAGAGAAGCAGAGCATTATGGGAAAAGTAGAAGAGTATATCTTCTTTTTCATTGCAAATATCTTAAATGTAGTATGTTATAGGACTTAAATAGCCCAAGTTTGATCTCAGCCACATTTATTCTCTATTCTTTGAACAACTTTTTTTTTCAGGTTTCATGTGTCCCAACTGGCCTTGAACTTGCTCTGTAGTTGAGGATCACCTTTAACTTTTGACCTTCCTGCCTCTTGAGTGCTGGGATTACAGGTCTCCACCACACTGAGTTTTAGCCAGTGCTAGGGATTCAACCCAGAGCAATATGCATACTAGGCAAGCACTTTACCAGCCGAGCTCCATCTCCAGCCCTGAGTGTGTTCTGGTTTTCTATGCTGAAAATAGACTGGCTGAGTCATCCCTGGGTCCATGTTGATGTTCACAGGGCAGAGAGAGACACAGAACTCCATGGAGTGTATTAGGACTACAGTTGCACCCACCATCTAAACTTTGACTTCTTACAGGCTAAAGATGATGCTTTGTTAATTTTCATATCTAAGTAACATTAGCATATCTAACAGAGGGAAGTCTTAGTGTGGAGCCCAGTCTGCCTTGAAGTGGACTGTGGAGTTCAAGCTGAATTTGAACACGAGAACTTTCTTCAGCTTCCCAAGTGCTGCATTACAGGTGTGAGCCACCATGCCCAGCTCTGAGCATGACTTAGTGGTTATATATGCCCACTGCAGAGTAAGGCACCATGTTGTGTGCCATGGCTAGATCACTAGTCCTTCACTAAAGAGCTGAAATGTTAAAGGATTTTGATGGTTTTTGGTTTTTTGTTTTTCTCCAGGGGACATGGTCTCAAAATACCGGGAGCCTTTGCTCCACACATTCCTGAGAGGAGCAAAAGATCCAGATGCTGCACACAGGGCCAGCAGTTTAGCCAACCTGGGAGAGCTGTGCCAGCGCCTGGACTTCCTGCTGGGCCCCGTGGTTCATGAGGTGCTGTATGCTGACTCCATCCCCAGAGTTTGATTTCTTGAGACTGTGATTAAAAAAAAAAAAAAAAAAGTGTGGGCTCTTGAGTCAGGAGATCAACCTGTGGTCCTTTTCCATCTGCTACTGCATCCCTCTGAAATGGGACAAGTCCGTCATTTAACCTCTGTAGGCTGTACTATCATCCTCCCCCTCCTTAACTTAGTTCATTTTTTAATTTTATTTACCTATTTTTAAATAGTATACAAAGTAATAAGTTTCATTATGAGATTTCATGCATACTTTGCTGTTTTTAAGCTACTGCCCCTACCCCTCTCCCTTAATCCCCTTCCTCCTCTGCCCCTCCCCCTCTCCCTTAATCCCTTTCTCTGCTCCTCCATTTGTCCCCTTGTATTTCATATCATGTGTATCT